TTAGTTTGAAAAGAACTCATGCAAAAAAAGTATATGTGAAAGAAGAAATATAAATAAGTAAAGCGGGGTCTGTATGAACTCGCTATTGTTTGTGCGCGCAGCCCCTTGTGAAGGGATGTGCGGCTAGGGAGCTCCTAGCCCACTTATGCCGGACTCGTCTATCCGTGCCCGGGGTCTTTAAGTGACCCTCGCACTGAAATGATGCCACATGGACCGGGCATCTTGAGTGTAAGAGACGCGTAATGTGGTATGGCGTTGAAACGGACAAAATCCTCTCGTCCCAAGAGTTCTTGATATCCACTTTTAAATGGGACGATATGAAAGATTAGTTTCTCGCGTCGAAAGTTTTTCGGTGATCCGAACACAACTTCTAGTAATAGGGAGCCTGTGCACTTGGCGTAAGGGCCTGGCATCACTCCTTTAAAGGATGTGCGGCTGTGTCAAATTTTAGTAAGGTCTATCCCCATCTTGCGGATTGTGTTTGGATATAGCAGGTTTAAGTCACTGCCTCCATCCATCAGGACTTGTGTAAATTTCAGTCCGTCGATTATAGGATCCAATATCAGGGCAGTCCATCCTGCATTTCAAACGCTTCTGGAATAATCCAGGTGGTCGAAAGTGATTGGTTTTGACGTCCAATCTCTATGTTCCGCTGGGTTGGACCGTGCGAGACCCATTTTAACGGATGCCGCACTGTTTTTCCGTATTATCACATGAAGTGAATTTACTGCTTTAACCTCTTGTGGGAAAGTCTTTTGTTTTCCGGTGCTCTGCTGGTGGGGTTTATCGTCTTCGCTTGACGCGTCGAGCCCCTTGTGTTCGGCGTTTAGTCGGCCGGACTGTTTGAAAACCCAACAATCTCGATGGGTGTGGTTTGCAGGCCTTCCGGGGGTACTGTGGATTTGACATATCCGACCCAAAATCTTGTTTAAGTTGGATAGCTCGTCGCTGTCATCCTTAAGAGGCGGTGTTTTGTTGTTTGGCCGCGAGCTTTTGAATCCGGAGTTGACTGCCGTGTTCTTTGGGCTTTTCTCTTTATTCCGGCGCTGCTCTTTTCTGCGCCGTGATTTTCCGTTTCCATCTCTTATCTCGGATGTACTTGGGTCGCTGGTGCTGCATCTTGCTAGCCAGCTATCCTCTCCCGCACAGAAGCGGGTCATGAGGCTTGCTAGCGCGGACATTGTCCTCGGTTTCTCTTGGCCGAGGTGTCTGGCGAGCTACTCGTCTCGGACGTTGTGTTTAAAAGCTGCTAAGGCTTCGGCGTCCGGACAGTCGACTATTTGGTTCTTTTTGGTGAGGAACCTGTTCCAGAATTTGCGCGCTGACTCTCCGGGCTGTTGAGTTATATGACTTAGATCATCTGCATCCGGAGGGCGGACATAAGTCCCTTGAAAATTTGCTCTAAACGCGTCCTCGAGCTCTTCCCAACTTCCAACAGTGTTTTCTGGGAGGCTTTTAAGCCAATGACGGGCTGGCCCTTTGAGCTTGAGGGGTAGGTATTTTATGGCGTGGAGATCATCTCCTCTAGCCATGTGTATGTGTAGTATATAATCTTCTATCCAGACTCCAGGGTCTGTTGTTCCATCGTAGGCCTCTATGTTTATGGGTTTAAATCCTGCTGGGAATTCATGGTCCAGCACCTCATTGGTGAAACATAGTGGGTGTGCGGCGCCCCTGTATTTGGGTGCGCCACTATCTTCGGACACTTGACGTGTTGCATTGCTTCTTGGGGCCTTCTTCTTTGGCCCGTAAATGGACCTGGCTGGGCCATCTATCTTTCCAGGTTCATTAGTCGGTTTATGTGCGGCACCGCTTTCAGAATTTGGCCTTTCATCTGGCTGTCTATCCAACCAGGCAGCCTCTTTATTTTTTGACTGTGAGGGCTCTATGGCCTCCTCGTCAAATTCTGGCATCAGCTTGCGCTTCGGGTAGCTCTTTGATTGGTGGCCATTGCCGTATTTATCCGCGGTTTTGAGCACTTTGCTCCACCTCATTCTGAGTGTGTCTTCCGCTGTTTTGAGCTTTCGTTTTTCCTTCTGCAAGCTTCTTGCGGTGTTGACGAGTCTTTTCCGAAGGTTTTTACTCTCCGGCGGCGTGTCCGGTGTGAGATCATCTGGACTATGTTTTCTGTCGGGCCCGGACTGATTGTCTGACTCGTCTTGTTCGGACGGTTGCTTGTCGTCGTCCAATGGTTTGCCCTGCTGTATTGCTGGGTCATTAGGAGCGCTGTCGTTGTCGAGGCGGGACTTAGGGCGGCGTCTGCGTCGCCGTTTTCGTTGTTTGTCGGCAGGATTATCTTCTGCCGCGCCCCGTTGGTCCTCGTTGTCGCTTCCTTTTGGGGTGTCCACCATGTATACATCGTATGACGAGGTGGTCCTTACGCGCTTTATAGGCGCTAGTTCTTGTTCGTCTCTGACATCGTCGTCCATGGCATCGATGTCTTCGGAGTCGTAGTCTAGCATGTCGGTTAGATCGTCAACAGTGGCTACAAAGTGGGTGGTGGGTGGGCTCCGAATTTCTTCGTCGTCCGCATCCCAACCATCCTGGCCATAGTCCGGCCAGGACTCTCCTGATAGCGAGAGATGCTTTAGCGAATTTAGGATGTCGCCACAGGGCGAGTGTTGGAAGATGTCCGTGGCGGTGAATTCCATAACCGGCGCCCAATCCGATTCGATTGGTAGGGGCGTGGGAGGTCCGGAGTCCGGCAAGGGGTCCGGCACCTCGGAATCGCGAGTCTTGCGAGGGACAAGATTAGTGTTCGGCTCCATCGCCGTGGAAGTTGAAGCCCCCGAGGTGGCGTCCATCCACCGGTCCTCGATTTGGGCGATCGGCTCCGGACTAAGGGCCGAAGCGGATTCGTGTGCGGCCACCAAGGCACTATTCGGCGGCAGAGCTAGATCATGCCCATCGCAACAGTGCGGCGCGCTCGGCTTTGGCTCGAGCCCGTCGAAGATCAAGTCCCCGCGGGCGTCGGCTGTGAAGTTTAGGCTTCCAAACCTGACCTGATGGCCAGGGGCATAGCTTTCGGTCTGCTCCAGATGGCCAAGTGAATTAGCCCGCAGTGCGAAGCCGCCGAATACGAAGATCTGTCCGGGGAGAAAAGTCTTACCCTGGACAGCGTTGTTGATTGAAGATGCCATCGGGCCTATTGGTGACTACACAGAGGAACTCTCAATGAAAGCACCAATGTCGGTGTCAAAACTGGCGGATCTCGGGTAGGGGGTCCCGAACTGTGCGTCTAGGCGGATGGTAACAGGAGACGAGGGACACGATGTTTTACCCAGGTTCGGGCCCTCTCGATGGAGGTAAAACCCTACGTCCTGCTTGATTAATATTGATGATATGGGTAGTACAAGAGTGGATCTACCACGAGATCAAGGAGGCTAAACCCTAAAGCTAGCCTATGGTATGATTGTTGTAATGTATGTTCTGTCCTACGGACTAAAGCCCTCCGGTTTATATAGACACCGGAGGAGGCTAGGGTTACACAGAGTCGGTTACAATGGTAGGAGATCTACATATCCGTATTGCCAAGCTTGCCTTCCACGCCAAGGAAAGTCCCATCCGGACACGGGACGGAGTCTTCAATCTTGTATCTTCGTAGTCTTGGAGTCCGGCGCACGATGATAGTCCGGCTGTCCGGACACCCCCTAGTCCAAGACTCCCTCAATGGTAGTGGATACTTTCTCCAAGTTTGCTCATTTCCTCCCTGTCAAGCACCCCTACACAGCGCAAACAATTGCCCAGCTCTACATCAACCAGGTATACAGACTACACGGCATGCCCGAAGCTATTATATCTGACAGAGATGCTGTGTTCACAAGCAAAGTGTGGCAAGAGCTTTTCAAGCTACAAGGTGTGGAACTAAAAACGAGCTCATCGCACCACCCTCAGACGGACGGGCAAACCGAGCGGGTCAACCAATGCGTCGAAACTTACCTGCGTTGCTTCGTCCATAGTTCCCCCAACAACTGGAGCAGGTGGTTGGCTTTGGCTGAGTTCTGGTATAACTCGACATATCACTCCACTCTCAACAAGACACCATTCGAAGTGGTGTAAGGCCAGGAGCCACGGCATCTTGGACTGGTACCTGAACAAGCAACACCAGTTCTTGAGCTTAACGAGTGGTTAGAGGAGAGGCAACAAATGCAAGATATTTTGAGGCAGCACTTACTGCGGGCCAAACAGGTCATGAAGCAACAGGCCGACAAAAAAGGACCCCTAGAGAGCTCCAGGTGGGTGACCAGGTGTTCCTCAAGTTGCAGCCATACATTCAGACGTCGGTGGCACGCCGGGCCAATCACAAGCAGAGTTTCAAGTTCTTCGGGCCTTATACAGTGCTCCGCCGAGTGAATGAAGTTACATACGAGCTGAAGCTGCCTGAGGGATCATCGATCTTTCCAGTCTTCCATGTCTCACAATTGTGCAAGGCGCTGACCCCAGGTGCGAGTGCCTCCTCTGCCCTTCCATCCATTACTGATGTGGCTAATGTTCCAGTGGAGATATTGGACACGAGATGGCACCGCGGCTCAAACAAAATGCGAGAGCAGGGGCTCGTTCGCTGGCAAGATCCCAAGGCTACTCCGGACACCTGGGAAGACGTTGAAGATCGTCGCAGATGCTTTCCCTCTGCTCCGACTTGGGGACAAGTCGTGTCTGAAGAAAGGGGGGTGTCAGCAGCCTTCCTGCACCTGGGCTGAAGAAGGCCTCCGTGGCGCCAGAGCGGCCCAAGAGAGAGAGGAGGCCATGCCACAGGTTCACTGGGCCTCAATGGGTTTCCTACATGTTCAGCCCAGTAGAACCCACCAGAAACTGATAAAGCAAGTGTAGCGTGAGGGAAAGGGGCATCCTGGCTTGGATCAGAACAGATCGGCGGCGGCCTAGCGTGTAGCTCTGTCCTGTGTTTCTTCCCCTTCCTCGATTTCCCCTTGTAATCGCCACTGTACTCGAATCTGCCATTGATCTGTTGAGAGAGTAGTAGTGGGTACCTAACAAAATACACCTGCAATGGCATTTGCCACAATAAATTCGGGAGCTACACATGCACCAGCACGGTAATATTAGGTAAGCGATCTACTATGTTACTTGAAATCTTGTCAACAGTGTGATCATTGTTTAGAAATAAAGAACCGTTTTGGGTGCATTATTCCTAATTCAACGTGAACGGCTGCAGGTGTCACCATTGAATTAAGCAGTGGTGGAGGCATTCTATTTCTTGCCGCAATTGTTGCTATTCTTACTCGGAGATGGAATCGGGTTATTCAGAAGCGGCTGAGAAAAAAATATTTCCAGAAGAACAAAGGCATCCTGCTTGAACAGCTTATCTCTTCGGACAAAAGTGCCAGCAACACCACAAAGATATTCTCCTTGGAGGAGCTGGAGAAGGCAACAAACAGTTTCGACCAGTCCCATGTGGTCGGACGGGGCGGCCATGGAACCGTCTACAAGGGCATCCTGACTGACCAGCGTGTGGTGGCCATCAAGAAATCAACGCTCTTGGTGCTCAGTGAGATCGAAGAGTTCATCAACGAAGTGTCCATTCTGTCACAGATCAACCACCGAAACGTGGTGAAGCTTCACGGATGCTGCCTCAAATCTGAGGTCCCTCTGCTCATCTACGAGTTCGTATCAAACGGCACACTCTATGATCTCCTGCACCACCCCTCCGAGCAAAACAGTAGCATCTTGCTGCCCCTGTCCTGGGAGGAGCGCCTGAGGATCGCCACCGAGATCGCGGACGCGCTCGCGTACTTGCACTCTGCGGCTTCCATCTCGATCCTCCACAGAGACGTCAAGTGCATGAACGTGCTCCTGGACGACAGCTACACTGCGAAGGTCTCATATTTCGGCGCGTCGAGATTGATCCCCATCGATCAAACGCACCTGGTCACTGTTGTTCAGGGTACGTTTGGGTACCTAGATCCGGAGTATTACTACACGGGCCAACTCAACGAGAAGAGCGATGTTTATAGTTTTGGAGTGATACTTGTTGAGCTGCCGACAAGGAGGAAACCCATCATCCAGAATGAGCATCGCGAGAAGCAGAACCTGTCAAACTACTTCTTGTGGGCCATGAGGGAGGGGACTCTCGAGGAGACGGTGGACGGGCAGATCCTGGGGGATGGAAGAGAGGAAGTAGTTATGTGCATGGTGTTGTTGCCGTGACCTCGCCCCAGCTCAGCTCTGCTCTCTACTCGCTCTCTCTGTGGCACAAACCGAAGGAGGAATAAAGAGAAGGGGGCACAGGAGGTTTCCGGCGCACGAACGCCGCAGCCGCATGAACGGCTTCCTCTATTCCTCGAGCATGGACTCGATGCCAGGCCACACAACGATCAGTACATGGGGGTATTTATACCCAGGCTAAGCACATGCGCACGCACACACCACTGCCCACCTGTCTCACGATCCGTCCGCCCACGCCGCTGCGCACGACGCGCTCATGCACGCACGACGCGGCCGGCGACCAACGGCCACGACTACTGCTCCCACTACCTACGCGTCTACACCAACGACTTGACACATGCTACTCGGACGCGGCCACACACCGGCGTCCGATCAACAACTGAAACACACGCACACACACACGCGCAAACACCCGCCATGGACTCGACCATGCACTAACACCGGTCGCCATCTTCACGGGGCATGGCTTGCTGCTAACATTCACGCCCCAAGCCATGACCTTGAACATGTCAGGCTCGTCGTCGACGTCACGCCATGGCCGTCGCACCGAGCCGCTGTGGCCTCCGCCGCGCAGCACCCCATGTCCCGCGCTCCCATGCTCGTGTACACGACGCGCACGCACGCAGTCGCCACGGCCCGAGTCCAGCGCCCCGACGCGGTCAGTCCTCTGCTGCCTTTGCCACGCCGTCTTGTCGTAGCCGCACTCCCCACGTCCCCGCGCTCCCGGCACGCGCTCCCGCCGCGCACGTACGCGATCTGCGCAACCAGGTCCAGCGCCTCGACGCGGTCCACGCCCGCGGTCCCGACGCGCCCGACGCGTCCGATGCGCACCCATAACACGCACCGGTCGCGCCCGGCTCGCCGCTGCGCTTATTGCCCTGCACCGCTGCACCGTCAACCGCAGCACCGCACTTCTAGGGTCGCCGCGCCGAGCCGCCGCGGCCTGTGCGCCACCACGCAGGTCCAACATGACCTCCTCGTCTCCGCGACGGCCGCTGCTCGTCGCGCGCACGGCATCACCGTGCATCGCCGCACACCGCAGCCGACGCGTCCATGTCCGCCGCGCTCTCCGCGCGCGCCGCGGACGCCGCCGCACGCCACGGCCGCCCCTCGAACCTTGGGGCTCTGATGCCAATTGTTGTTGCCGTGACCTCGCCCAGCTCAGCTCTGCTCTCTGCTCGCTCTCTCTGTGGCACAAACCGAAGGAGGAAGAAAGAGAAGGGGGCACAGGAGGTTTCCGGCGCACGAACGCCGCAGCCGCACGAATGGCTTCCTCTATTCCTCAAGCACGAACTCGATGCCAGGCCACACAACGATCAGTACATGGGGGTATTTATACCCAGGCTAAGCACATGCACACGCACACACCACTGCCCACCTGGCTCATGATCCGTCCGCCCAGGCCGCTGCGCACGACGCGCTCATGCACGCACGACGCGGCCGGCGACCAACGGCCACGACTACTGCTCCCACTACCTACGCGTCTACGCTAACGACTTGACACATGCTACTCGGACGCGGCCACACACCTGCGTCCGATCAACAACTGAAACACACGCACACACACACACGCAAACACCCGCCATGGACTCGACCATGCACTGACACCGGTCGCCATCTTCACGGGGCATGGCTTGCTGCTAACACATGGCTCGGTTGGCGGAGGAGTGCCTCAGTCTGACTCGAGAGGAGAGGCCATCCATGAAAGACGTGGAGATGAGGCTGCAGCTCCTCATGGGGCGCTGTGTCGCACCGAGGGCGAGGCAAGACGAAGAGGCACGGCCTGCAGGGGGTGATGGGCGTGGTGGCATCGCTCCGGTGGTCAACCAACATGGCTCACGTCAGTTCAGCCAAGAGTGAGACTTTGTGTCGTCTCTGCGTGTACCGCGGTAGGTTGTAGGCACAAATTATTTACATTTTCCCTTGGCAGTAAAATAATTTGTGTTAATGTAACTTTTCAAATTTTTGTTTGATATATGTAAGAATGAAGAAATTGTACTTTTGAGTGGTTGCCATTATGCGAATAGCAAATTACAATAGGCCATCATGGTGATAGCATTGAGAGTGTCAATGATTAATGCTTCTCAAAGAATAGGAGTGGATGAAACTAATTTTCATAAGGGCATGTATGATGGTGTGATGCCCCCGATTCAATCGTACACTAATCATACATGCAAATATGTACGATCAAGATCAGGGACTCACGGGAAGATATCACAACACAACTCTAGACACAAATAAAAAATAATACAGGTTTTATATTACAAGCCAGGGGCCTCGAGGGCTCGAATACATAGCTCGATACACAAGAGTCAGCGGAAGCAACAATATCTGAGTAAAGACATAGGTTAAACAAGGATGCCTTAAGAAGGCTAGCACAAAAGCAACAACGATCGAAGAGGCAAGGCCTCCTGCCTCGGACCTCCTAACTACTCTTGGTCGTCGGCGATCTTCACGTAGTAGTATCCATCGGCGGTGGCATCTGGCTCCAGGGATCCACCATCTGTTTGCATCAACCGGAAAGAAGAAAGAAGAGGGAAAGGGGGGAGCAAAGCGACCGTGAATACTCATCCAAATTACTCGCAAGCATTAGATCTATACTATGTATGCACTGGTATCAAATGGAAGGTTTGTATCTGTGGACTGAACTGCAGCATGCCAGAATAGAGGGGGAAGGCCTAGCCTATCGAAGACTAGCATCTTCACGCAGCTCCGAGCATCTTGCAGCATGTAGAGGAGTAAAGAATAGCAGTTTAATATTAACAAACATGTTGTAACATTAATGCCCACAGATCCTTCCTCGACTCCCTGCGAGAAAGCAATCCCGGAGCCATATATCCAAGTATCCATTCGTAGTTGTATAAGATCAGGATATAAGTCTGAACGTCCGTTACCTGGACACGTCTATTAATAGATAATCTTCCCTGCAGGGGTGCACCACGTTTTTCAACACGCTCGATCACTCTGGCCGGACACACTTTTCTGGGTCAATGCCCGGCCTCGGAAGATCAACATGTCGCAGCCCTACCTAGGCTCAGCAGAGAGGTCCCCGCCGGTCTACCTCCTAAGCACTCCGGGGTCTGGGCCCATCGCCTGTTGCACCGGGTCGTTGCGCGCAGGGCGGGTCCAGGCTCCACCTCTAAATGGATGGTGCCGGCCCAGCCGTGCCGCACTGCTGAACTGGACGTCTGACAAAGCTTCGGCTGATACCACGGCGTCGAGGCCCATAACTATTCTCACGTGGTGGTTGGTGCGTAATGGCCAGAGGCTAACTCAGAACAAATACCCAAACCATAGTGTATTATTATCTTGCGGAGACGAGCAGAGAATCACGATCGAAAGTGACCCCGTCGCCCCATCTCGTGGACTTACAACAAGGGCCTAGAATGCCCGGCCGTGCCACGTCATTATCTTGCGGGTGCTCTCCGGGCCCGCCTGACTTTCACCAAGGTCTCAAGTAAAGTCAATGTAACCGTGTGTCCAAACATCAAGGGGAAAACCCGAGGAATCACCCTCGGTGGATTCCACTCGATGTAATCATCAAGGTGAACGTAAGAGGAACCACCCTCGAGGTTCACACTTGAGGTGTTGAACGACAGAGCCATATCGGGAATGGTGAAAGAGGAAATCACCCTCGATGACCACGACCGAATAGCTACACTACAGAATTATCATCAGGAGTGCGTTATGAGGAATCACCCTCGGCACTCGATAGTAGCTCTGCAGAGTCGAGCAACAAAAGGGGCGTGATGTGATGTGAGGTGTCAGGCTCTGCTTGTCGATCACGTTGATCGAGTCGTCGATGATGAAGCAGGGGCGACAAGGACAAGGTGGGGGTCACTGATGGATCTCTATCCAACCTATACTAAGCAGGTAAGGTACAACAGCAGGTACAAAAGCAGGCTATGCATCAGAATAGGAGCAAACAATAACAGTAGCAAAATCTAATGCAAGCATGAGAGTATAGAATGGGCGATATCGGGATGACCAAAGGGGGGGGGGGGCTTGCCTGGTTGCTCAAACAAGAAGGAGGGTCGTCGGTGATGTAGTCGATCACAGGGGCATCAGCAGTGGTCTCGGGGTATACCGGAGAGACACTAGTAGAAAAGGGGCCAATGGTCCAGGCCGGTCCAGCCCATTAGTCCCGGTTCAATCCAGAACCGGGACCAATGGGGGCATTGGACCCGGTTCGCGAGCCCCGGGGGCCGGCCGGGCCACGTGGGCCATTGGTCCCGGTTCGTCTGGACCTTTTGGTCCCGGTTGGTGGGACGAACCGGGACCAATGGGCCTCGCTCCTGGCCCACAACCATTGGTCCCGGTTGGTGGCATGAACCGGGACCAAAGGGACCGGGACCAATGGTGGTGCCTATATATACCCCCTCGCGCAAGAGCAGAGCACACTGCTCTGTTTTTTCTGGCCGAGGGGGAGAGGGCTTGGTGGTGCTCTAGCTCACCTCCTATGCACACAAGGTGTTCGATGGAATGCCCGAGCCACACTACTTAAGGTTTCTCCTCTCCAAGCTCGACCGCCAAGCTCCATTTTCCTCAATATTTGTCTAGGTTTAGTGTTCCGTCACGCCCCGTCCCCGTCTTCACCATCGTCGATCACCCGCGCCGATCTCATCGCCGGCACCACCGTGGTGAGCCTCTTGTTCTTATCTTCTTTCTGAAAGGAAAAATATTCTTACTTGTATGTTTAGATAGATACTTGTATTATTTTCTTACTTTTATTATTGCATCTTATATAGTGCGATGGTTTTGGTATTCGCCCCTGTCGGCCCTCGTCCTGTCTATGATTCGGATGTGGTATATATTATCTTTTCATAACTATTGGTTCATTTATTGTTTATGACAATTATGCCGACCAACGTGACATAGATTTTATTTATCTAGGAGGTTGTTGAACCAGAAATTCCAACCGACCCTATTGTCGAGAGGTTAAATTTAGTTGAAGAAGAGAACAATTTGTTGAAGGAAAAAATTAGAAAAATTGAGGAGGAGAAGATGATATTGGAGTACATGTCGTCGATGATCACAAGATCAAGATGGATGCAATGTGCTTGAAGATTAGAAAGATTAGAAAATATGCCATTCATACCGAGGCTTGGTATCATTATGCCGTTGGATCAGTTGTTACATTGGTTGCGATTATGATCGCATTTGTTTTCGCATTGAAATATTTTACATAGTTTCAGTGTATGGTTTAATTAATTTAGATGCTCTGCAGAGCTTTATGTTGTTAGATGAGAACTATGTATGTACTTTGGTTTTAATGTGATGATGAACTTCTATTAATTTGGTCACTTAATTATCTATTCATGATGTTCTCTAATGATTTTTGACACACTTAATTATATATAATGCACGCAGATGAACCGGCAATGGATGTACGGTTCAAGACACACCTCCGAGTACATTAAGGGCGTGCATGATTTTCTCGAAGTGGCTGAGGCAAACAAGCAGAATGGTTTTATGTGTTGTCCATGCCCTATATGTGGGAATACGAAGTCTTACTCTGACCGGAAAATCCTCCACACCCACCTGCTTTACAAGGGTTTCATGCCACACTATAATGTTTGGACGAGGCACGGAGAAATAGGGGTTATGATGGAAGACAGCGAAGAAGAAGAGTACGATGACAACTATGTGCCCCCTGAATACGGTGATGCTCCTGAAGATCAAGAGGAACCAGACGATGTGCACGATGATGCTGCAACGGGCGAAGCTGCTGAAGATCAAGAGGAACCAGACGATGTGCCCGATGATGATGATCTCCGTCGGGTCATTGTCGATGCAAGGACGGAATGCGAAAGTCAAAAGGAGAAGCTGAAGTTCGATCGCATGCTAGAGGACCACAAAAAAGGGTTGTACCCCAATTGCGAAGATGGCAACACAAAGCTCGGTACCGTACTGGAATTGCTGCAGTGGAAGGCAGAGAATGCTGTGCCTGACAAAGGATTTGAGAAGCTACTGAAAATATTGAAGAAGAAGCTTCCAAAGGATAACGAATTGCCCGACAGTACATACACAGCAAAGAAGGTCGTATGCCCTCTAGGATTGGAGGTGAAGAAGATACATGCATGCCCTAATGACTGCATCCTCTACCGCGGTGTGTACAAGGATCTGAACGCATGCCCGGTATGCGGTGCATTACGGTATAAGATCAGACGAGATGACCCTGGTGATGTTGACGGCGAGCCCCCCCAGGAAGAGGGTTCCTGCGAACGTGATGTGGTATGCTCCTATAATACCACGGTTGAAACGTCTGTTCAGAAACGGAGAACATGCCAAGTTGATGTGATGGCACAGTGAGGACCGTAAGAAAGATGGGAAGTTGAGAGCACCCGCTGACGGGTCGCAGTGGAGAAAAATCGAGAGAAAGTACTGGGATGAGTTTGCAAGTGAGCCAAGGAACGTATGGTTTGCTTTAAGCGCAGATGGCATTAATCCTTTCGAGGAGCAGAGCAGCAATCACAGCACCTGGCCAGTGACTCTATGTATGTATAACCTTCCTCCTTGGATGTGCATGAAGCGGAAGTTCATTATAATGCCAGTTCTCATCCAAGGCCCTAAGCAACCCGGCAACGACATTGATGTGTACCTAAGGCCATTAGTTGAAGAACTTTTACAGCTGTGGAATGGAAATGGTGTACGTACGTGGGATGAGCACAAACAGGAGGAATTTAACCTAAAGGCGTTGCTGTTCGTGACCATCAACGATTGGCCCGCTCTCAGTAACCTTTTAGGACAGACAAACAAGGGATACCACTCATGCACGCACTGTTTACTTGACATCGATAGTATATACCTGGCAAGCTGCAGGAAGAATGTGTACCTGGGCCATCGTCGATTTCTTCCGA